ATTCTTTAAATACACTCTGCTATGAATATCCTTACGTTGTAAGAAAGAACCGAGTCTAATACCAAACTGCAAGATAGTATTCACGTTTTATTGTACTTTTACTATCAAGCGCAATAATCGAAGTTTCACGTGCAACTCCATCGAACAATGCAACAAAAAGACGCTACATTATTAACCTTCACATACGGCAAATTAACAACGTTATCATGTTGTATGTGTGTATAGATTCGTATTCTGTGTGTATACATTTCAATGTTAAACCATATGATCGACGGTCATTCGCGTGGTTGCAGCAAAGTTGTGGGTATTATCCGGTCATACAACTTCAAGGGACCTGTTTGTAAACTGGTCGTCTTATCACTCGATATCAAAATTATCTCCACGGACCATTGACTGCCGCCCTGCGTGAACGGTGAACGGTGCTCGATAATGTTGCATGTTGCGTAAACGAGTGTTAAAAGTGTACGTGTGATAGGTATCTGTTTCACTCGTGGCCATTTTATTTCACCGCCATTCGAGGTACCTGCTAATTACCGCATACCTGCTAATTCAGAGATTTTTCGATCAAATATTTGCCTGTAGAAATTTGGAATCTGATAGTTGAGAAAAAGTGATAATTAAGTCTTGCTAATTATGCATAAAAAAATATTTGTCCGTAGAAATTTGATAGCCGAGAAAAAGTGATAATTAACTTTTGCTAATTATGCATCAGAGGAATTCAGAGATTTTCTGATCAAATATCTGCCTGCAGAAATTTGAAATCTGATAGTCGAGGAAAAGTAATAATTAGTAACTTAATAAGAATATTATTTCTACTTTTTGGAAATCGCAAGAAACTATGAAAACTTTCCGTGTTTCTTTTGGCACTTAAAAGTATACGTGTAATATCTGTTTCATTTGTGGTCATTTTATTTTTTCGCCGTTCGAGACACTTGCTAACCAGACGTCCGAGGAATACAGAGATTTTTTGATAAAATTTGAAGTTTAATGGTCGAAGAGAAGTAAGTTTTACTTTTTGGAAATTGCAAGAAACTCTGAAAATTTTCCATGTTTTCTTTGGCAATTGTTGTGTATTTTATTTTGGCGATATTGGACACGTCGCTTTGCTTTTGTTTCTAGCTGATTACGTATCAATGAAATTCCGATATCAATGTCTTTAGCGAGTTTTAATGTTACACTTAGGGAAGATGAGTAATTAATTTCGTACAGATTGTAATGTACGAGGTGGTTCACTTAAAATGACAACCCGCAATAGTGTACGAAGCAAAAGTTGCATTATTTCAGGGGCACATGTAATCGTGGTAACCATTTCCTCTCAAGATCATTTTTGTTACGAGATGTCAAGGTTATTGTTATTTTTTCAAACGAAACTCTATATATATTTTTCTCAATATGCTTGTAGAGAGTGGCAGAACCCATTCAACTACCTCAACCATATCGTTTCCTTCGTTGAATTTCGAGATATTTGCGTTCGAAGGTAATTAAAATTTCCTAAATGAAATTGTACATGTATATGATATTTCGAAGGTCGACGTGATTTTTTAAAACGGAACACCCTGTGTTTCTTTACGCGAAATTAAAAGAATTGAAATAGAGAAATATGCTTTTCCTTTTTTAGAATAGAAACTCTATCGTAAATATCTCAGTAAATATTCATTTTAGACATATTACACCTGAATACTTATTTACTCAGTTTTTAATGCTCTTTTAATTCCCGTAAAGAAATATAGGGCGGTAAGACTTATTTACTCAGCTTTTAATGCTCCTTCAATTCCCGTGAAGATATACAGGGTGTTCCGTTAATTACGAAACAATTAGAAGAAGAAAATAATTACTGTAATATACGTCCCTCTTGGAATTATGCAACTTTTGCCTGAGTAATTTCAGGTCGTTAAGTTAGGTGAATCATTCTGTTGTACGTAAATTGTTTTTATTTTCTACGAATCATAAGGAAATGTGAAGTCTTTCCATATTAATGTTGGCATTGGTTGTGAACAAGACAAGTTACACCGTTTCAACTTATTTTTAAGCACAGCTACGGTAGAGACTCTTATAATTGAGAAACGACCCAGTTAAGGGACTAAAATAGAAAATTGAATTTTTCGTGGAAAAGGGGGATCAGTCTGCAATGTGCATAATAAAGTGTGCGTCTGTGTGTACCTACGTCTGCCGTTATTTACTACGAATACTAACTATCTAAATGTTTGTAATAAAAAATGCCAGTTTGATCAAATCGATGCGTTTATTTCTAGCAATTGTGTATAAACCTCTCGAATAACACGAATTAACTAACTTCCTTTGTACGTATAAAACTTGGAAAATAGAGGCTTAAAATTGTGCACCAGTGTTAAAATATATCTGCCTTACAGCGAGATTGCAGCGAAAAAATTGTAAAAGTTTATTTTCAGCAATTCTGTGTAAATCTCTCGAATAACATCGACGAACTAATATCCTTAAAGAAAATTAGAATGTTAGCCAATATTTAAATAATTTCTTTTTCTTACAATATGTCTCTGACGTTCCAACAGTAAGCAACATTGTTCGGCAAAGGTTGCGACACGTTTCTTAATTAACTGTCTATATCGAAGGCGAATTATTTCTATCGCGCAACGGCTCGGTTTCAATTTGCCACTTTCAATTTTCTCATTAACGACGAACAGCCACCATTACTATTGTATAAAAACTAGGCGGTAATGCGAAGGAAACGTGGCAGCTTGCCGTTTCGTCGATATGGTAATTACCGTCTAATCGCGATTCCATTGTTATCGGAACAGCTACGCAGTTGAATAATTTACCGGTTACGTAAAAGTGGGGGCAATTTCCACTGCCGTACGTTTCAGTTTCGACACGTACAGCGCATCTTTCCAATCTGTCGGTATTCTTTTTTATAAATCTAACGAAATTGGCGTGAAAAATCGACGAAACAATTGTGTCACCTTTGCGTGCAATTTTAATTGAAAATAAATTACAAATCGACGAATACTTTTTATTCGTTTGCAAGGTTGAAATTATGGTTTCCGAAGATGAGAAGATTGCACGAGAAACGTTGATATCCAGCTATTACATGTTTTATTAAATGTATACAGGGTGGATGAACAGAAATTACCAACTACACCTATCCCCCGATTTACACGGTACTTTATTTACACGATTTCACTTTTACACGGTTTCAATATGAGGAGGTCTATAAAGATTTGACGAAAAACCAAGCACAATTGTTAGTTACATTACCAAGGCTCGCCGATCTGAAATTGTTTCTAATTCATCTAACATCGAACTTGAATCGCATCGAGTACTATCGAGTGATGAAAGTGACATCGTACCAACCAGGAATAAAAGATTAATAGTCGACGAAAGTGATAACAGTAATTAAATTTTTTAATTTATACCTCTTGTTTCTATACGTAAAATGAATTACATACATATACCTTTATATGTTTATCATTTTACGAATAGACCGTTAGTTTTATGTTTTTTAAGATATATTTAGTTTTATTTTACGTTGAAATAAACGACTGAATTATGCACATTCTAGTTTGTTTTCGATTTACACGGTTTTCTAAGGAACCTATCTTCAGTGTAAATCGGGGGATAGGTGTAATGAATTTAATTAAATAACTTACTGAGTTTCTTCCCCGATTTACACGGTTTTTCATACAAAAAGCCATGATTTCGATTTACACGGTATTCTGAGGAACCGATCATATCCGTGTAAATCGGGGGACAGGTGTATGTGAGTGAGAGAATTATTTGTCGAATAGAAGATTAACCGGTACGAAAAACCATCGTAATTTCTATCTGATGTAGCTGCTTTTGTACGAAACAAATTTGAAAAAAGATGAAAAAGATTTTTCTCTAATCTGCATTATTCTAGGTGGTAATATTCGAAGATGTATAGTCGGTGGAAGCGACGTAGGGCATTATTTATGAGATAATATTGAGAATTTCTGCTTACAATCTTTCATTTCAGATGTAGTATGTATATATTCACTGTGGCCTCCAGTGGCTTTCAGTCTTATTTCTTTTATTATTATCCTACACTTATCCATCTGCTGTTTTCTATCCATTTCTCGTTACCCTATTGCACCTCTTTCCATTTTCAACTTTCAGAGCCAATCTTCTGTCTTCTCATCCTTTCTTCCGCTCGCTGCATCCTCTATTTTAACTCGATCTAATTTCCTTACAATCCCTTACCAGATGCTCCGACGTTCGCTTGATTTACAATCAATCCTAACTGTACATTGCTAACTTAATCCATTTATCCGCCTGGTTCACTCGTTCCTTTCAGTCTCATTCCCCTGACTTAACTTAATTTAACATATTCCTTTCATTACCATCCTACATGTCGATCTGCTGTTCTCTATCTATTTCTTGTTACTATTAGCTCTAGCTATTAGGTCATCCCATTAGCTCGTGTCGAATTCGATCATTTAGATGAATATGTCCAACGAACCTTTAAATTTGAACGTAAGCGTCTTCTCATTCCCCCTTTTCCCTTTTTTCTTTTTAAGACCATTATGTCGTTGCCGTAGAATTTCTGTGGATTTTCATTAAAATATTTTTCGCTTCCGGCACGCACTTACGGAATGGCCTAATAATGTCCCTTACCAGATGCTCCAACGTTCCGAACCTGTCTGCGCCTAAATCGCATTTCCATTCCTCCTGTCTAACAATAATTCCCGTATCGATGAAAACGGGAACCTGCATTAAGACGCAGACAAATTTTCCAAATACACCTCAATTGGAAGAAACGCCTCCCGGTTGATATCGGACGGCCCTGAAGCTCGAGCTTCTTATCTTCCTCGAATTGCTATTTTAACGTACTTCTTTTCCTTTTTTTTTTTTTCTTTTTTACGTACGACTGATTTTACGACCTTCTCAATACCACTTCCACCGACGTACAATTATACTACCGATCCATCCTGTATAAATGGACGCACGCTTGAGAAATTCGTTTGCATTTAATGTTAATCGTTGCTTTTCTTCAACTCCTGTTACAGAGAACACCAATGCGCCCAATGATAGCAGAATACGACCCAAAGAAGCACGGTGTGAAAACAGAAGTGTCAGACATGGTTCTTGTCAAGTAAGTGAGAAAACTTGGTTTACGAAACCGACGCGAACGAACAGTTCAACGATAGTCGAGCAATTCACTATCTGCTACCACGACCAATCATCACCATTGCTTTCTTGCCAAACTCAAATGCTCCGTGCTCAAGCAAACGTGAGTGACAACCCGAGGATCATATATTGTGCATTATATCGTATATATGTGTATTCTCTCATTCTCTGTGCTCTGTTACTATTTATTATATAATATATAAATATACATACACATATACATACATATGTATATCTGTTGTTTTCAATATATACATGTTGTATACATACATATTTGCAGTCTTCTTTTTTTTTTCTTCTAAGTGTATTCTATATAATAATAGTTCCACGACTAATTAATTCATGCATACCGCCTGTGATCGCTGACGTAGAACTCGTAGCGTATCTCTGGCACCAGGGATGCTTGACGATTGACCGCTGAATCGTGATGATTCTGTTATTCGCTGGTTTGTGCAGAAACGCGCTTTTTCGTCTTTCTTTTTTTTTGTTTTTTTCTTTTTATTTTAGTGTGTCTGCCGTGCACTCGTACGTTTGGAACACCTTTGTGTTCTTTTTTCTTTTTGTTCGTTCTCTTCGCTTATATTGTTTTCTTCTTCTTCTTCTCCTCCGTAACCCATTTACACCCACGAAAGAGGATGTTCATTCTTTGCATTGTTTGTGAAAATAATACGTGTACATAGTTTGTTTACCTGTGGCAGGATTCTCGGTTACGAGCTACTTTGTGCAGCAATGTGTCGCCGACATTTTTAACATTTCACGTCATTTTCGGGGACCCGTGGAAACGGTGACTTTTGAGTGATCGGTGTTTACCCAGGTTATTGCTGAGTTAACGTCACTCCTCGTGTCGCTTGTAACGTGTCGTTGAATTTGTGAGAGTACAGATTGAACGGAGATACTGTACATACGTTAAAAAAATTATCGGTGCAGTTTTTGCATTGTTTGTGAAAATAATACGTGTACATAGTTTGTTTACCTGTGGCAGGATTCTCGGTTTTACGAGCTACTTTGTGCAGCAATGTGTCGCCGACATTTTTAACATTTCACGTCATTTTCGGGGACTCGTGGAAACGGTGACTTTTGAGTGATCGGTGTTTACCCAGGTTATTGCTGAGTTAACGTCACTCCTCGTGTCGCTTGCAACGTGTCGTTGAATTTGTGAGAGTATAGATTGAACGGAGATACTGTACATACGTTAAAAAAATTATCGGTGCAGTCGTTGTGAAGATAAATTTGAAGAATGAGGAAAATAGCGAGAAATGAAATTGTACGTTCTTAACGTCGGAATGAAATGGGTTATGCTCAAAGAGAACTGAAACTGGTACATGCAAAATACTGGTACAATAATTATCTTTTGCTACGTGCTGGCGTAACACGTTTTTATGTTTGAAAAATTAAACTTGCACTGCACAATACGATCACGTGTATAGTTCCTACGAAACGAGAGAATAGTTGGAAAGAAATGGGACAGCTTTGAATAGCTGAGAATAGCTTTGAAATGGATGTTAAGTATTAAGGGTAAATGTAAATTTCATGAATTAATTTATATTGAAATTATAGTATTGTTATTATTGTTGTTGTGGTGGAAGAGTTTTGGCAGCACACAGTGAAAATGTCCTGTACGCGCGAGCTTAAAACAACTACACTTTACAATCAGTATCGTCACAGTGAAGTAGTTTGAAGGTTTTCAGACATTTCTTAAAGAAGGGGTTCAGTAAACTAATCCTCAAACTAAACTACTTATTTCTGTATTTTGCCGTATGATCATAGACATAAACAACTTGAAATTATTCTTATTTTCGAGATAATTCGACATTTGAATTTAATCAGTGATCATAAATTCTATTTTTTCTTCTTTTTTTTTTTTGTGTCAAAGCTGTTGAATTATTTAACAGTTTTTTTTTCCCCATTCGAACAGTAAATCGCTCAGTTTCCATAAATTAGTGTTTCTCACTTCTTTTTTTTTTTTTTAAGTAAAACAGCTTTTGCAAACTCGAGAAATTCACATTGTACCGATAATTAATCATTCTTCCACAAATAGTTTATTCAACCCCGTAGCAATATTCGCAAGAATCGTTATTTCCGTATCTGCATCATCGAGCGTAGAGTAGTAGAGCGATGGAGGAGCGAATCGAGTGATAAAATGAAAAAAGAAAAAAAGAAAAAAAAAATGAGAGGATACAATATACGTAAATCATGCACGAAAGGGGCCGATTAATTTTTCCGCACAAACAAGCGATTGCTCTCGATTGTCGATTTGGCGGCAAGACGAAATCTTTGGATCCATCGCGCACAGGATGGAATTTCTCCTTACTGCACCTTCGCAAACTGAGCGTTTCTTCCTGTAAGAGTACCTATTCGACTCGTACATTTTTAACCCTTTGCGGACAGAGATTCCAAGCGAAGGAAAGCAAGCGCTCTTTGGAGCCGAATCAGCAACATCTGCCGCATTTGTCATTAGCCTACGTCCTGACTAGATGTCGTATAGCGGCAAAATGCTTGGTCGAACACTATTTGCGACCAGAGTGGTCAGTTTTCAAGACGCCCTTGTCGAACTTTGAGTTACTTTTTCTTAGCGAAAATAGTTACTTGAAATATATATTACGAAAAAATACACGAAAGAGGAAACGTCGTGCAGTAGACAGGATAAAATTCGGCGAATTTCATCACCGCGTTTACTGTCAGCTGCGAGAAAATGACAGTTTATTTTATCAGTATATGCTACAAAGAGAGTTAATTTAACAAAAGTTTCAAAAAACAGAAGTCCGGAAAAATAGCAGAGATGAGCGTCTGTGAAGTCGAATCCTAGGACTTGCTGCGTGCGATGCGGCAAAAGACAAACTCGTTTGAAATTCACACAATCGTTGTCACGTCGCATGTGTTGCCAATTTGGACGCGAGTTTCATGTCGTTGTTGGTCGGCAGATCGGACGACAACGATTTTGTCGCTGTACGACAATCTAGTCAGGACATAGGCTTAGGCGCAAACTGGAGCCACGTTTGAGAGCCTTACTCCTCACAAACAGCAGTATAAAAAACAGCCTAGTTGCAGTTGCAAAATGAAGCAGTTATTTTTAAATGTTAAATTCATAATATGAAAACAAGAGGCTGCTGAAAACGGAAAGACTTGTTCTTTCGAGGTCTCGTGACGATATTAGCGTAGGATCTCGAAAAGCATAAATACGGCCCTGATAGTCAAATTGAAATCATCAGCTCACTTTTCTCGCGAGACACCGATTAACCCTTTCCTTGCTAAAAGTGACTATAGTCACCCAAATCTGAACGCTCGCTGGATACTAAAGGTGACCATGGTCGCCCGTGAAACCTTGGAAAGTAGTGTAGCTTGAATTTTCTTTCTGCATCTTCCGAACGCCTGAATTCCCGAAGCTAGAATTTTACATCTGGAGCCTTTTCACGCTCTTCGTAACACCCGCCAAGTTTCATCTCGACCGGCCGCCTAGGGCCATTCGTAACAATGGCCAAATAATAGAAACATAAACACAGGATAAATAAAGTGTGCTAAATTGCCCCGTACAGTGACAAAAGCGAGAGGGTTGATTATTAAACAGAAAACTGTGTTGCTGTTTCAATTTTTATTCGCTAAATTACACGTAAATTTCATCTTCTCTCACCTCCGTCGATTTTTCGCTCGGCGCGTAAATTTTGCGAATGCGTTGCGCCAAGTTCGCAAAGGGTTAAACAATTTGCACGTACCGGCCGCTTCTTATCGCGTGAAATTCTTTCCACGCTACGTTTCGTTACGTAAATTTCATTCGACGTTTCCAGTCTTTTATGCGTTCGCCGAGAGTAATTGTTCAGTAATAAACGTTGAAGCGGCGACGAAACGTTGTGCAACACGAGCGAACAAAACTGGTAATTATCGCTCGTCAAATTGGTCGCGATTATTCTCCTCTATTTTTTTTCACGCGATACACGCCGTTAGATAAACGCGTGTACCTAATTGTCGCGAGTTTAATTGGTGACACGGCAAAGATTAATCTCTCCTGTCGAGCGTCGTTTCTCGCACATAGAATACCTGTTGGATAACGCGTCGTTTTAATTGTCGCGCGCGTGTTTGTCCAATAATTTTCGTTCTGCGGATAATTGCGTTGACACAGAGCTGCACGGCTTGTCATTCTTCTCGACTTTTTCACCGGAGGGTCGACTACATTTTCGATTCTCGACGCGGGACGTGTAGTCGGTGGAAGCGATGTATGGCGAGGTCGTAAGTTAACCGATTATCCATTATTTGCGAATCGATATTCAAAATTTCTGCTTACAATATTCCACTTAAGCCACACGGTAGCAAGCCTTTGTCGCCACCTTCTCAATAGTAATTCCCGCATTAGCAAAAATTAGCTTGCAGCTGTGAACGATTAAGGCGCAGACAAATTTTTGAAATGTAGTGCATCAAAAGAAGCAATTTCGCGTTGATATCGAACGACCTTGATCGAGGCTCGAGCTTCCTTCTTGTCTCCTTCGAATTGCCATTTTGGCGCTCGGATCACCTGTACTGTGCAGAGACGAGAAGTTGACTAGCGGGAGGACTGCGAGTCTGATTGGTTATAGTGCAACAGGCCCAGCTTCTCTTGCACAGTCACAAAGACAGGGCACGTGTACCTGTTGTCATTGATCTAACCGATCAGATCTGTAAATTGGATAGTGTAGTATCGCGTGACGAAGAGAGCGAACGGGACATATCTAGACCAAGTGGATTAGAGCGATAGCGAGCGATCCGACGAGCTTTTAGGTAGGTTTCGGACTGATCACCTGCGAATATGCAGAGATGAAGAGTTGACAAGCGCAAGGAGCGCGGGTCTGATCCCCGTAGGTCCACATTCCCTAACACAAAAATAAAAATGGGGCACACTTGATGTCATTATTATCACTACAGGAGCAAGAGTGAGGAAACATATGGGGGGCGTGTTGGGGTAGTGACTCAAATTTTTTCTCGGCCCCTAAATTATTG